AGCGGCGTAAGTGATGCCCTTTACTTTCCATGGGACACTTATAGCATCACATGCAATATAATCAGCATCACAGGTGATGAGCTTAGCAGCCTAGGTGATGTCTCTAGCATCCCAGTGATGCTACTAGCATCTCATGTAATGCTAGTGGCATGGTAAGTAGTGCTTCTGGCATTACAGGTATCGATGTGACTGTGGGTGTGGACTCAGGCTGTGAAGTGCGCGTGTGGCTTGATGTGGATGTGCGCTCATATGTGGACCTGGAATTCAGATGTGGTTTCTGGAGTGAATTTGGATGTTGGGATGTGGTTGCAGGCACTAGAGCCCCAGTTGCCTTCGTTCCATTCCAACATTCACACTGAAACTCTGCAGCCTCACTAGCAGAATAGTTAATAGAATTTTAGAAGATGTATTAACTTAACACAGAAAAAATAGAAAACTTCATTTAGCGCGGAAATGTCGGCGCGGAAGTGTCGGCGCGGAAATGTCGTGTAATCGTGTAAAAGAGAGATTTTATAATAAAAGCGCCATCTTTTCTGAGTTTTTCAAGACATGGAATTTTTGATGCCTTATCTCCGGTTAAAAAGTAAAAATTAAATAAAGCGTCTTTCTCGTGTTCTGTAATGCCATATTCTCTGTCAAATAAAAATCAATTAAATATATAACATGAAGACCAGAGGAGCTCATTGTGTTACCAAACGAACAATTTTTACTCTTGGTTGTTAAATACTTTCTGAAAATGTCATATAATAGGGCTGAAAATTTTACCATAACCTCCTCAACCACATATCTAACATGGTCTGAAAATTTCATGCGATTTGAATGTGTCTGACCTACTATTGGCTATTGAAAGTAGATCTCAATTTGGACTATTTGATGTTAAATGGAGGGTGGTAATGATAGAAGAAGAAGCGTCCTAACATCATTGATGGGTTGACTGATGAATGGAAGGCTTGTATTGTTCTGTTCAAGCCTTTCATCTGACATCGGTGATCATTTTCGACCATAAGCATTAGATCTCACTTAGTGCATCTAAAAGAGTGTGGGTGTGGACGTGTGTTTGTCTGACTTAGTAAATTCTTCTTGCCTACACCCATCGTTATTTTGACACCTTGACTTTTAGATTTTGGGCAGCCACAGTGGAAACACGTTGATTTCAATCTATTATGACGATTTATTCAAAGTTCTTCTTCGTGCCTAATCATTTGTTTCGTAGTGAGGTAATATGCCAAGTGATTTATTGTGATGCGCAGTAATTTTATAAATGCTATAGCGATATAGTCGGGGATTTTCTTTATTCTCAATCATCTTATCATTGAGCGATGAGCGCAAACTTCCTAACTCGAAAAAGAAATAAAAATTGTCAAGAATAATTTCAATGTTGACATTTTATATGGCGATGAACTATCCTCTTACACATGTATAGGCTTTATTGTCTGCTTTGAATGTTGTCTTCAAGACATAGTCGGCTATCTTTTTGCTCACTTGAAGTCCATTTAAATAAGTCCCATGAGCAAATCCATAGTATTCTGCTGAATATGCTTCACCAGCAAAATGAAGCCGACCCATTGGTCGTTGAAAATGAGCATATTGACATTGTGAGGTACCAGTTGGCAAAGCACTGTACGAACCACGATGTAAAGGATCTTGTGTTCATGGACAGTAGTAAAAATCATTTGGTTGTGGAATTCGTTCACCAAAAACTTGATTTTAATACTGTCATAATTTTCATCAATGTTTGATTGTTATTTTGTGCTTCAACAATATAAGCTTGATCGGTGAGAACAGTGGTAAGAAGAATATTACTACTAGGTAAGAATCCAACTTCACTCAACGATTGCCAAACTTGATAATAACCTCGTCAGTTTGAATCGGCATACAGAAAGTATTGTGTATCATTCCAAAACTCGTAAGGAAACTGAAGAAACATCTTAGTATAAGTTGCCACCTTGAATATGGAAATTGCTGCTTATTTCCATGTTGGAAATGATGGTTTAAATTGAACATCATTGTGCTGAAGGACTCCAATAGAAAATGTACAAATAGCATAATCAGCCAAGATGATGAGACTATTTTTCAAGGTTATCTTGACTGAATTGTCTAAATATTTCACTCTTATGACAATACTGTTCTAAAGAATGTTTCTACTAGTGGCAAATGTTTTAGCTTCCTCATGCACCAATGTGAAATAACCTCGTTGATCTATAACCAATCGATTATCATACGTCCATTGACCGTAAGTCGCATCATCATTAACTGCTGCCTCAATCATGCTAGATGCACTTTATGTATCAGCATATTCGAAGTCGAATGCATACCAGTCAGCTACTTTTTCCTGTGGTGTCTGAGGTTTCCACCCTCTCAGACTTAGGCCTTGTGCAAAGGAAATATCTTCATGATTCAGCTCTTTTTCTTACTATTCCATCTTGTACAACTTCGTCAAAATGATTATAGGCTTGATATACGACATCCAAGTAATCAGACGAGCCATTATAATCGAATGTCAATAAGTCTCCATTCTCACTGAAGATAGTGTCGAGTTTATGTTTTTTTTGCCAATGTCCATATTGGTTTTACTTTTCCAATTTTATTATTCTGTATACCTTGAATCCAATTAGCACCTAATTTAATGGTATATGAGCCAAATTTAGTTTCTTTCATTCGTCCTCCAAGAACCGATTCTGCTTCAATGATGAGAAAATCAGTGATTCTATTTGCTGCTAACGTTCGAGCAGCAGTCACACCAGCCATACCACCCCCAAGAATAGCAATCCTTGTTTTAATTGTTCGAGCGTTGCACAAACTGAGAAATACGATCAGTAGTGCCAAGCGAAAAGACATGTTTTGTTCGACTTTCATCTGAAATAAAATGACTTCAAAAATCAATGTGTTCTATGATATGGAAAAGACAGAATAACGTTGAAAATAGACGACAGATGAACATGAATGACTGTCGAATGTTTCTGAAGATTACTCAGATCAATCTCAGTCCTGGAACAAGAAAACTTAGGCAGGTGGGACAATGGAACCTAATGTGAGACACTGATACGAACACTAGATGATTGGCTGAGACGAGATAAATATTGATGAGTCGCACATAAGTACAAAGGTAGGCAACAATTAGCATGAAGAATTTATCGCTTGTCGTCGTATCTTTGTGTATACTGATTGAATAGTGTGAAAGAGAGTCAGTGACCGGTAATTTTATAGAAGCGATTTTCTTCTAGTCGCCGCTCGGAACTTATTGCATGCACAAAAACGGAGGTGAGAGATGCGAATTTTAGCATCTGATGTATGAATGTTAGAAGAGGCATTGCAGAGTGATTGCGATTAAGAGGTCTCCGTGTTATTTTCTATTCAAGGCTGTTCGAGTTATTTTTTGTACGCTAAAATCGTCGCTTTGTAGCTCTGATTTTTAACAAAAAAAGGGCTTTTCTTGTAAAATATCCATAGATAGCGATAAAGTTTTCGTAAAACAAATTTTTACATCCGCCCTAGAAGGGTAAGAATTCTTTTCAGGATTTTTGTAAGAAAAGATTTTTCTCTTAAAAATTGGCTGTGCCAATCTCTTAGACAACGGCGTAGATGCAGGTTTGGATGTGGGTAATGCTTCTCACTTATGTAAGTGGCACACACCAACACACAAGAGCCGTACCCATACTTGCACATACCCGCATCCTACTACCACACTCACAGGCACACCCACACCCAAACCCACACTCTCTATTGTAGCAAATTATTGTTGTTCTCATCGAAAACAATGAATTCATCAGGATTTCTCATAAATAAAATAGAAAGAGAGAAACAAGCGAGAAGCTTACATTCTGTCAATAATGAAAGAACTTAACATGTGAAGGTTATTTGATTTGTTACTTTTTTTTCTTTGATTATGATGATGTGAAGGAAGATTGAAAAAAAAATTCAAATGCTAATGGATTTATATTTCTGCAACTATTGCAGTGTAAATCATTACAGCCAACAAGAATATTTTTTCTACGTGGGATTCATGTTTTTCGAGATTAATATAGTAACAGCTGCTCTCTAAAAAAAGAGGAGGTTTGCCGAACCCCTCGAAAAGGTTCTGTAGATTTCTAAAAGCATCCAAATGTGTCGAAAGTCTCAAAAAAAGGATAAAAAATTCGACAGAACCTTTTGAAGGTTCTGTGTAGTACCCACTAGCAGAACCATCTCTTGCAGAACCTTTTTTTAAGTTCTGTACAGGAAAAAAAGGTTCAGTGAGAAAATACGAAACCTTAAGGGTTCAGTACAAAACCATTG